TGGTTTGTGTGTGTAAAAAATGAGTAATATGCCTTGTATTTTTGAAAAAACAAAGATATATATATATATATATATATATATATATATATATATATATATATATATATATATATATATTGCATGCAGTGTGATCTTGTGTAGTCTTTTCAACTAAACTCTTGACAGTTCAGAGAATCACAGAATAAAAACTTGGCAACACGTTACTTTTTCATTAAAATTACAGAGTTCACTTTCTGGTGTAATATGGATAGAGTTGATGTTATTCACTTTCCCAGGATAGAGAGTATCAGAAAACGAATTGAGGAAAAAGGATTTTGAAAGTGGAAACCAATTCATGCTTAATTATAGCAATCTTATCCCTCGTGCGGGCTAATTACAAATTAATGCAAACACCTTACGTGTCATCAAGAGACACAACATAACGGTTTTAATTAAAATTTTTTATTTTTTATTTTTATCACTAAATTAGTTTTAAGATTTATTTTCTAAATACCATGTAAGATCGATGTATTAACTATATTTAATTGTTAATCTACTTAGAGCTAGATACTTGTATTTTGTTACTTATTTTTAAAATTTTACTTAATCATGAGATCGTTTTATATATTTGAGAGATTTATTTGATTAATATGATGAGTTTGTGATTAAGTATAAAAATTAAATTTAAAAATGAATTACCTTTACTTAGTTCTAAGTGAGGCCTTTTTTATACAAGGAAGAACTTGTACTAATTATGGTCAAAATTCCAACCAATTACAAATAGATTCTCATTCGCTAATATCGATCATGCTTGTCCATTCTTATTTGCTATTCTTACATCATGGAATCATATTGGCAAGCAATAAAAGTATTTAGATTTTGGAGACCATTTGATGGATTGATGAGAGAATCACAATACGAATAAAACTAAGAAGGAAAAGATGACTTGTGCTATCCGATACACAATACTATAATCTAATTAATAGGTATGGTTTTGAAATTTTCATCAAAATAATCTCCTTTTTGCCTATTGTTCTTTTTTGTTTTAATCTTTTGATATGTGTTCAACAAGATTAATTTTTTTATATATGTTTTAACAAAAGTATACATCCTTGGTAGAAAAAGTCTATATATTCATTGGTAATAAACTTTTCTTGCTGAAACTAGAGTTGAGTATATGCTGTTAACATGTTAGTTCTACCATATTTGTACCTTGCAGAAAAAGTGAGACCTATTAATTCCAATACATGACATACGTATCGAATATATTTGGATGGATAAGAACAAACAATCGTATCATTTTTTTACAATCAATCAATCAATCATATAATTTCATATACGTGATATATTGTTTCCTTCTAAACATTATTTTAAGACAGAAGTGACAATTTTTATTAATAACCAATGGAAAATTAGAAGGAAAGATTGAAACATACAATTTTGACTTTTCCATGGTTTTTATTTGAACAAGAACTCGATCTAAAATGTAAACTAACCCAAATTCAAGAATTTGAGCGTATAAATTTATTCATGTGTGAATGCAGGAGATTCATGTTCAACCACCCATATTATCACAATTGGCTGTTCCACTCACTCTTGTTCCATGCATGAATATGATCTAGAAGCTACCTAAAATCCATGACAGACGTCATACAGCATCTTGATCCCACAAGAGGCAAAAGGGAGAAGTGAGATAAAGATGTTGCCAGGTAGGGTGCTCTCATCCTATCTGCTTTTCCAAAATTTCTACCCATAATGAGGCATAGTGGAACCAAGTCTCCCTCCTTCATCACTCATTATAAATACACATGCAACTCTCTTTCTCCTCCAACCAATTTCCAATCAAAAGCGGAAAATCTCTCACTCTCTTATACTCTACTGATGAGCTTCCATAATATGGATAACATTGTAAAGCTGACTACTTTATACACCTTGGTTCTTTTACTTTTTCTGTCTTATAAGCCTGCTCTTTCATTTTCTTCTAGACAAAGGCAATATTGGAGTGGTGGGAGGATATTGAGCTCTGGTGATAATGGTGATCTTGTCACTAACTTGCCTGGCCAGCCTAAGGTAAATTTCCAGCACTATGCTGGATATGTCACTGTCAATGAAACCAATGGAAGAGCACTGTTTTACTGGTTCTATGAGGCTATGACCAAGCCAGAAGAGAAACCATTGGTGCTTTGGCTTAATGGAGGTAAAAGCAGATGATAAGTTAATGTCTTTATTTTGATTTCTGTGTGAAACATTCGGACTATGGAATTGGAGATAATTGTCAAACAAAATTTGAGTGAAATAGTGTGCATGGTAACAGATTTATGATCAAACATGTCACAAGCTAATACTATAAAACTACATGTCACATCTTTATCTGAGGTGGCTCTGACATTTCGATCACCTGAGTCATTCGTATGTTCAAGGAGAAAGCCATGTCCTTATCAACAATGAAAATAAGTTATAACCTCTAGATTTTTATTTTCTTTTAATTTTTTAGGTGGCACCTAATGAGAAAGCGTTTACAACACTTGTGGTTTCATTTTTTGTTTGTTGTTGCTTATGTTCTCTGCTTAGGTGACAAGATGATTCTATGTTACAGGTCCCGGGTGCTCTTCTGTGGGATATGGAGCAACACAGGAGATTGGTCCATTTTTAGTGGACACTGATGGCCAGGGCCTCAAATTTAATAACTTCTCATGGAACAGAGGTATGATGATGGCCACTACTAGATATAAATACTTTCTGCCACAAACTCACTTTCTTTTTCATATTGTATAAAATTTTGATGGTGAACCACAGCTAGTGCTCCATTATTGGTTCCCTCAATATAAATATTAATTCAGATGTGCTATTTATTAAACAACTCAGAATAATAATTTATACAAGACATATTTTTAGTATAAGATTTGTTACAAATAAAACTTTTCTTATTAATTGGTGCTAAGAAACCATTGTATCTGCGATGTTGCAGAAGCCAGCATGTTATTCCTGGAATCTCCTGTTGGAGTTGGCTTTTCATACTCAAATACGAGCAGTGACTATGACCAACTGGGAGATGACTTAACAGGTCATTACTTATCTTAATGGTGCTGCTGCATAATGAGCAGCAACAACAATGCCATTTTCTTGAATGTGGGCCACATTTTCTGTTGTGAATCAATCTCTGACAAATTCGATCGTGCTCTATGTTTTATTTGTGACAGCTAATGATGCTTACTCTTTTCTTCACAATTGGTTCCTAAAGTTTCCATCATACAGAACTAGGGCGTTTTACATAGCAGGGGAGAGCTATGCAGGTATTGAAATTGAAATACCTTTTCTCTGCACAACTCATTTTTGGTCAATTATTTTAATTAAATTAATCATCAATACACCTATTTATTTTCAGGAAAGTACGTACCAGAGCTGGCTGAACTCATCCATGATAGGAACAAGGACCCCTCTCTCTATATTGATCTCAAGGGTATTCTGGTACGGTCCTACATAATTTAAAAATCAAAACAAATTGCTTGATTAAAACCATGGCATAACGAATCTTCCTTTACTAAAAAATATGTTCCCATCTAGTCTTGCATTTCCATATTTTAGTTAAACAATAGGATTTGAAAATACCCTCTTACCCACATCATGTTCCACTTTCAATAGCTGAGATATTTGTAAAGCAAACTCTTTACTAGTCATCACTATAATTTAAAATTTTCAGTGAGCTAGTGTAGGGATTGAACCATCCTCATTGGCACTGTATAAAGTTATGCAAATAACAAATATGAAGGACTGAGTGTTATTGTTTATTTTTTTTTTATATTCTTTTGCAGTTGGGTAACCCTGAAACATCTGACGCTGAGGACTGGATGGGCCTGGTTGATTATGCTTGGAGCCATGCCGTGATATCTGATGAAACTCATAAAATAATCAAAACAAGTTGTGATTTTAACAGCACTGATCCATGGCGTAATGAAGATTGTAGTCAAGCTGTGGATGAAGTACTCAAACAATACAACGAAATTGATATCTACAGTCTCTACACCTCTGTCTGCTTTGCCAGTACAGCACGTTCAGACGATCAATTCATGCAAACTTCCATGAAGCTTACATCTAAAATGGTGCGTGAAGAAAGTATCTTACTCATACCACACTTTTTCCATGGAAAAAAGAAAACCGCTTTAAACAAAAGTTGTTGCCCATAGAATCTAGATCTATTGGTGGATAAATATTTTACATAAATGCAATAGAAGTTAATGCACTTATTCTGATGAGTTTTACTATGAAATGTAAAATCAATTGGAAAACTAATTAATTAAAAAGATAAGCAGTAATTTTTATAATAACTAGAAATACTTGTACTTTTGATGTTTGTTTATTGTACATAAAAAAATCTTCTTCCACTGTAATATAAGTTTAATATTGAGAGTAATTTGAAATGATTAATTTAAACAAATTTATTGTGTATATATAACTGTTCTGACAAACCAACCTATTGAATTTGGTTGACTAGATGCCTAGGATGTTGGGTGGCTATGATCCATGCCTTGATGACTATGCAAAAGCATTTTATAATAAACCAGATGTTCAGAAGGCTCTTCATGCCAGCGATGGTCACAATCTAAAGAATTGGAGCATTTGCAAGTAACTTTTTAACCCATTTAGCTTTTCTGTCATGACAACATTGGAAATGCACTAGTTCAAAATATTAGATATATATTTTATATATTGTAAATTATATGTGATAATCTTTTGCTAAATGATTCTGAACTACTAAATGTAGCAACAAAATATTCAATGACTGGGCCGATTCAAAGCCATCTGTTATCCCAATTTACAAGAAGCTTATTTCAGCAGGACTTAGGATTTGGGTTTACAGGTAAACACCAATGAATGTGTTTCAAAAACTGTGCTTGCTACTGCATTTTGTGGTAGCTTCTATTCACCATATTGTGCTGTTGAATGTTTCAGTGGAGACACAGATGGTAGAGTACCAGTGTTGTCCACAAGGTACAGCTTAAGCTCTCTTGCGTTGCCTGTCACTAAATCATGGAGGCCTTGGTACCATGAAAATGAGGTAATGAAGAAGAAATCATGAAAGCAATAATACGTTTGCTCTAACCAGAACATAATGTTGTATTCTGAATGGAACAGGTAAGTGGGTGGTTTGAAGAATACGAGGGGCTTACATTTGCAACGTTTCGAGGAGCTGGGCATGCAGTTCCCTGTTTTAAACCAAGCAACTCACTTGCGTTCTTCTCCTCCTTTCTCAATGGAGAATCACCACCTTCTACAAAATAAGAAATGTGTATAATAATCATATTGGGTGCTGTTTGTGACCCCATATGAAGATTTTGCTCTTACATTAGCAATAGCTGATACTATCTTATTGTTAAAATGCGAAGCAACCCTATGCAAATCTAACGAATAAAAGAGTTTTGCTCCTTGTTCACCAAATCAAAACGCGATGCTATTGTTGGCTAAACTGATACTGAACTATTTAATTGGAGTGGTTTAACGTTAACCTAAATTTGTTTTTAATATTCGCTTAAATTTGTTACGAGAATACTAAATTAAAGTTTTCCAACAGTGTTATGTCCCACCCAATTAAAGAAAAACACGAAGAAAGAGAATGGATTGTAATTTTCTGCTGTGATTTGAACTCCAGGACCGATTCCTCCGAGTTGATAAGGAAAAATCGAGCAGATTCAAATTTTTTCCAGTTTTTAAGAGTGGGGCAAGAGATTTAAATTTAAATTTTAAATATTTTTAAAACATTTTGTTTTCAAGTAAAATATTTTTTTTATATTTCACTTTTTTTTCTTCTCTCTTTCTTTTATTCTCTTGTTTTTTATTTATTTCTTACATCAATTATTTTATTATATTAAAATTAATTTTGTATTATTTTCTAAATATTCTATATAGTTTTATTATATTATATATTTTAAAATTTATTATTCTTATTGTTATATATCAAATTTTATTTTAAAAAATAAAATAAAAATAATAATTAAATTTTTTATATATCAAATTTTTATATTTATAAATATTTTAAAATAACAATTTAAGAAATAATTAACTTATATATATAATTAACTATTAAAATACATTATTATAATATATAATAATAATAATAATAATAATAATAATAATAATATTTATGCCATGTTGTCGTGCTCCATGTCACCCATACAGTTTTTCATTTTTAAATTTTTATATTTACTATTATGATTATATTATTAAATTGGATTGTTTAATATATAGATGTGTGGTAAAAATGAGATTGTTCATATATCATTCCTTGACATGTATTACACAACGTGTCTTAGAAAGCGAGAACCAAAGGCGGTGTAAGTATAGGTTTCCAATCGCATTTTTAGGATTGGCAATCATCATAATCCTCAAAAAGTGAAGTGAAATTGAATGGATCTTACAACGCAAAAAATTAGAGACTTATGATAGAAAATTTTCTCATTTTAGCATAATCTATCTTCAAAATATATCATGTTTAAACAAGCTTTTCGAAAGATCTTTTTAGAGAGAAAAAAAAGATAAACTTCTTTATAAACTTAAATTATCACTCATCCACAAATTAAAAACAAAAATTTAGAGAATTTCTTAGCATAATATCTATTTTTTTTTTCAACTCAATTTCACCTAGATAAATGTGCCGGTTATGAAGGCTTTTGGACCGATGCTACCATTTCTTAAAGCAGGTAGAGAAATTAGTTGATGCACACCAAAGCTTATACAACCATTAATGTCTTTAAATGACCCACTGAACCCTGGCTTCTGCATAATTATTCCTTTCAATTTTGGTACTGAATAATGCAGAGAGAGAATAATGTTGGAGGGCTTTGTGTTTCTCCTTAGAGGAAGATAGAGTGCTTTATTAATGTCCTCCAGCAGTTGTGTATTAGAGTCAAATGCATTAGTAGAGTGGTAGAACATCTGAAAAACTTTCAGGCATGTCAAATGCAGCACCTTGCAAGGCTTGGGCAAATTACTTTGACCGTCAACTAGAACATGTTGAAGGAACTCCTTCGTCATTTCATCTATCGTCTCTCTCCCCGCAGCAATTGAATCTTCCATCCTGAAATTAGGGTTCATCATCAAATTGAGCTGAGGAAAACTCCACTTTCCCTCTTCAATTTCCTTCTGTCACACATGAAATAGGACTATGTGAGGATTAATTATTTTTTAATAGCTACTATTACAAGTACATTTTTTTTAATCATTATTAATTAGCAATACCTTATAGGTCTGTATATAATTTAATATACGACATATAAGCATCAGTAGTTTAGTGATGGTTTCATATTGAGATGGCCTGAGATTCTGGTATGATAAGCTGGGGTTCAGAAAACATGAAGCTGGAAGAATCATGGTGTGTATATGGCAATAGAGACCATGCCATTGTTGAGATAGTCATCAATTGCTGGTGCATGTCCCTTTTTGTTCCACTTTGCTTCCGTGAGCCACGAAAGGAAAGTTTCACACCACTTCACAAAAAATAACTCTCTGGTGTTAATTATTCAGAATAGGTTAAAATTAAATTTATATAAACACTCTTACTAGCTAGGTCTTGTAGACAACTCTTTATATCGTGAACCTCTCCTTGTTGGAGATATTTTGTAGCAGCTTCACTCACGAGATTATCCAAAGCATTAAATAAGACTTTGCCGTGGCTACTCAAGCCCTTAGAATCCCACCTGTGACACATACAGTGAAAGTATTGAAAGTATTGAAGCAGGGATTATTTTGGCAGGTTAATGGATGTAAAGATAAAACACGAGTAAATTACATAAAAAAATATAATATTAATTTAAATTTAAATTTTTAAGATATTAAATTATAATTTTTTTTTTCTTATAAGTTATTTAATTTTTCCATGATTGTGAGATTTCATTCGATACTTCAATTCTTTACACCATATATGAAGCAAAACAAGAGGAGGCTTTCTTTTCATTGAGAAGAGAAGAAGTTGTTAAAAGGTGTAGTTAATGAAAAACATAATGGAATGAGTTCTGTTTTTAAAAACAAAAATTATCTTCCTATTTTTCATTTTGTTTAATTTAGTATCATGAGTTTAATTATATATATATATTTTTTCATATATTCATCTTTTGATGTGTTTCGCACATATTGAAGAAAAACAACATAGAAGGCGCTCTCAAAACACACAATCTTTCAAAAATAAAGGAAAAAACGAAGGTTCTTCTGAAAAAAGGAAAGTTATATTGGTTTGTACTAATTACCAAAAAATCAGCCATTGTATTGGTGCAAAGCTAAACCTCTTTTTCACTATAATTTGTATAATAAACAATTGGTTACAGTTAAAGTATATATTATTGAAGAAAATTACAATTCGATTGAAGATAATAACGATGAGTATTTTATTTATGACATCATACGAATTTAAGTCACTTGTTAATTGAATATTATTATAGTTGTTGCAGCAATCACATGTTTTTAATTTCCCTCTATTGACAAATCATTCAACCAAGAATCAAGGTGGAAATTGATGAAGTTGTGCAAGGGGAAAGAAAAGGAAAAAAATTATATCAACTAAGAATGAAATCGTAATTGTCAAATGTTATATACTCTAAAACTAGATGAAAATCTAAGTATTTTATAAATAGATTGTGTAAATAGATATAATCTTATATTAGTCGATTTTAAAAGTTTGAAAAATAGATTAAATTAAATAAAAAATATCGAAACTTGTTTGAGAAGATTGCATAGGAGTGAATTTTTTTATAATCCTTATTTGTTATTATTTTTAATAAAATAATTTACCATGACAACAAAATTTAAGTGTAGGATCATGTGTGATGGATGAGTAGCTTAAGGAGAGGAAAAATGGAAAGAATACGTATACCTTCTAACAGCATTGGTGATATGTTTCAAGTCCCTGAGTGAGCCTTCTGTGTCAAAGAAATCATCTGCAACTGTGATCAGAATAGCACTCTTTGCCACGAGTGTTCTTACGTAAGTGTGATTTGGATAGGTTGTGGCAGCAGCTATAGCATAGTAGCAATGCGTAAGTGTGAATTCGTACGTATATATGAGTCAGAGATGCACAAGCATGCTGTGTTAGCATCGTTCAAACCTCGTCAATTCTTCTAATTCCCTTCTGAAAATTGATTGCTTAAACTCGTAATTCTGCATGGCAAGTTCTACGATATATACGCTGTGAAAGTGTGAAATCCTACACAAGTGAGTGCCATCTTCCATCTATGCAAAGTTTCAAAGAAAAGGAAACAATTTGGTTCCAAAAATGTACCTAACATGTGAAGTTTTTCCTTTCCATAGGAAATCGGCGTCATCATTTTCTTCTATCCACATCCTATGTTTTAAATGATCCATGTGAGCCAGCCAAGGGGTATTTAATTCATGTTGAACCTGTTTGACCAATAGAAGGATATATAATGACTGGAGTGTTGAAGGTTAGTAATTCATTTTTTAGTGTAATAATAAAAATAAAATTATGTGTTGAATGAAAAGTTCCTTTCTATAATTGTATAATTATCTTACTATATATCGTAATCAATAAATTGGTGATTAACTAAATACAAGGAACAGGAAGGTCCACGTCGATGATACCATTTGTTGGAATTGGGACAATCTAGCGTGTGTTTCACCATTTTTGGTTAGCAAGCATTTGCGAAGCTGATATCTGGTGAAAGATTTGACATCCTCAAGTTCATGTTCCCCACAGAAAATAAGGTTTGAGGCTCCGTACATTAAAAGCATTGTACTCAACAAGTGTTCCGGTTCCTCTTCAACACATCGTCTAATTTCTTCATTATCTAGAAACCAACCAAAGCTCACTGCATTTTGTGTTCAGACTTTAATGAGTAAATAATTGTACATATATATGTCTATGTTAGCAAACCAAATTCTTTTTAGGATATTATTATCATCATGATTAAAAAATATAATAATAATATAAAAACTTCTACATTTATAGTTTATCCCACTTAAATTCTAAATATAAATTGAACTCGCATATGTATATCTACGTCATAAAACTTTCATTTGCTACGTACCTTCTAAAACTTATCCTTTGATCCACCATAATAGGTTGGGATTACATTTCTATATGAACATTGGAGTAAAATAGTTAATTGCAACGGATGCCATACATGATGGTGACACAGTGTATCCATGCATCCTTAGGAGCTGAAATGCCAGAGAGTCTTTGTGAAGTTGAGCTTGAACCATATTGGTGGGTTTTACCCACGATTCTTGCTCCACATAGTTTCTGTACAAATCATATTAAAGATC